ATTACAGTCTCTGGTTGTCTTGGGTCCAAGGAGATTTGGCAGCTGAGAAGCTTTTCCTGTTCCCTCTTTTCTCAATGGCTGTGAAGGTCGGAACAAACACAACCCCCAGTCCAATGGCCTATGTTGAAGGCACAGAGTCTTCCTTTTGATGCCAAAGGACCGGTTTGAAGGCGCTTGGGTCTCCTCAACATTGTCCAGGGCGATCTGGACATGAAGTATGAGTCCCAAGGGTAAAAACCTTAGAATTGGTGATGAGAGGTAACTTAATTAAGAGCTTTAGAGCCAAGTCTCTTTCTCACGTCTATCTGATAGAAAGTTTGATGGTAGAATGAGAAGAAAGCCCTGCCCTCTTCCCCAGGAAGGGGAGGAGCCAAACAATTAAGCAGGGGAGGCAATTCAACAGATGCAAACAACATTGATAGAAAGCAACAGATAGCCAAACAATTCTACTGTACATCTACAAATCAAGCAAGCTTGGGCATGCTATACACTTTAAACCTTTGCACTCCAAAGTTCCACACACAGGTGGTGCCACTCACGCCGTCACATTTGGAATATGACATTTCTTTGATTCCCAAGCTTTGGATCAGCCTCAGCTAAAAATAGTGTCTCCTTCCACAGGGTTTTGCAACAGAGGCTGAAAGGGGTTGGACTGGATGGCCTTTGGGGGACTCTTCCAACCCTAGTGGGATGTAGATGACCAGGGAGTCTGGACGAGTCTCTTTCTTCACAGGTATCAAAACAAAGGTTTTATGGCAGGCATGGGCAAACTTCAGCTCTCTAGGTATTTTGGATATTGACTCCCATAATTCCTAACAGCTGGGCTGTCTGGCCATATTCCAGAAGCATTCTCTCCTGACGTTTCACCCACATCTATGGCAAGCATCCTCAGAGGTTGGGAGGTCTGTTGCAAACTAGGCAAGTGAGATTAATATAACTGTGGAATAATGTCCAGGGTCGGAGAAAAAACTCTTGCCTGTTGAAGGCAAGTGTGAATATTGCAATTGGCCGGTTTGATTAGCATTGAATGGTCTTGCAGCTTCAAAGCCTGGCTGCTTCCTGCCTAGGGGAATCCTGTGTTGGGAGGTGTTAGCTGGCCCTGAATGTTTCCTGTCTGGATTTCCCCTGTTTTCTGAGTGTTGCTCTTTATGTACTGCCCTGATTTTAGTTTTTCCGGGTTGTATGGCCATGTTCTAGAAGCATTCTTTCCTGATGTTTAGCCTGCATCTGGGGAAGACATCCTCAGAGGTTGTGAGGTCTCAATAAAAGTTTGCTCTAGGCACTGTCAGGCCATTATATGCTAATCAAGGTGGTCAGTTGAAACATTCACACCTAGCTCCAGCAGACAAGAGTCCTTTGTCCCACCCTAGTCATTCCACAGATATATAAACCCTTTTTCCTAGTTCCAACAGACCTCACTACCTCTGAGGATGCTTGCCATAGATGCAGGCGAAACGTCAGGAGAGAATGCCTCTAGACTATGGCCATATAGCCTGAAAAAACCTACAACAACCCAGTTGTGAGGTCTGTTTCAAAGTAGGCAAGTGGGGTTTATGTATCTGTGGAGTGTTCAGGGTGGGAGAAAGAACTCTTGTCTGTTGGAGCTAGTTGTGAATGTTGCAGTTGGCCACCTTGATTAGCATTTGATGGCCTGGCAGTTTTTAGGCGTGGCTTGTTACTGCCTGGGAAATTTCCTTGTTGAGAGGTGACCAGGTGTTCCTGGTTGTTTCTTGTCTGGAGTTCCCCTGTGTTTGAGTGTTGTTCTTTATTGACTGTTATAATTTTAGAGTTTTTTTAATACTGGTAGCCAGATTTTGTTCATTTTCATGGTTTTCTCCTTTCTGTTGAAATTGTCCACATGCTTGTGGATTTCAATGGCTTCTCTGTGTAGTCTGACATGGTGGTTGTGAGAGTGGTCCAGCATTTCTGTGTTCTCAAATAATATGCTGTGTCCAGGTTGGTTCATCAGGTGCTCTGCTATGGCTGATTTCTCTGGTTGAAGTAGTCTGCCGTGCCTTTCATGTTCCTTGATTCGTGTCTGGGCAATGCTGCGTTTGGTGGTCCCTATGTAGACTTGTCCACAGCTGCATGGTATACGGTAGACTCCTGCAGAAGTGAGAGGATCCCTCTTGTCCTTTGCTGAACGTAGCATTTGTTGGATTTTCTTGGTGGGTCTGGAGATAGTTTGTATGTTGTGTTTCCTCATCAGCTTCCCTATGCGGTCAGTGGTTCCCTTGATGTATGGCAGGAACACTTTCCTCTGGGTGGATCTTCATCTTGACTCTCGTGGCTTCTTCTCGGTGGTCTTGCAGCTCTTCTGATGTCTGAGGTGGAGTCTCCATTGGCCTGGAGAGCCCAGTTGAGGTGGTTCAGTTCATCTTGGAGGAGGTGGGGTTCGCAGATTCTTTTTGCACGGTCTGCCAAGGTTTTAATGGTGCTTCTTTTTTGACTTGGGTGATGGTTGGAGTTTTTATGTAGATATCTATCTGTGTGTGGGTTTTCTGTAAACGGTGTGACCCAATTGTTGATCTGGTTTGCGGATGACTAGGACATCTAGAAAAGGCAGTCTTCCTTCATTTTCTTTTTTCATGGTGAATTGGATGTTTGGGTGGATGCTGTTCAGATGGTCCAGGAACCTGTTGAGTTCTTAGTCTCCATGGTTCCAAATGGTGAAGGTGTCATCCACATATCTGAACCATATGTTTGGGTGGATGCTGTTGAGATGGTCCAGGAACCTGTTGAGTTCTTCTTCTCCATGGCTCCAAATGGTGAAGGTGTCATCCACATATCTGAACCATATGTTTGGGTGGATGCTGTTAAGATGGTCCAGGAGCCTGTTGAGTTCTTCTTCTCCATGGCTCCAAATGGTGAAGGTGTCATCCATATATCTGAACCATATGTTTGGGTGGATGCTGTTAAGATGGTCCAGGAACCTGTTGAGTTCTTCTTCTCCATGGCTCCAAATGGTGAAGGTGTCATCCACATATCTGAACCATATGTTTGGGTGGATGCTGTTAAGATGGTCCAGGAACCTGTTGAGTTCTTCTTCTCCATGGCTCCAAATGGTGAAGGTGTCATCCACATATCTGAACCATATGTTTGGGTGGATGCTGTTAAGATGGTCCAGGAGCCTGTTGAGTTCTTCTTCTCCATGGCTCCAAATGGTGAAGGTGTCATCCATATATCTGAACCATATGTTTGGGTGGATGCTGTTAAGATGGTCCAGGAACCTGTTGAGTTCTTCTTCTCCATGGCTCCAAATGGTGAAGGTGTCATCCATATATCTGAACCATATGTTTGGGTGGATGCTGTTCAGATGGTCCAGGAACCTGTTGAGTTCTTCTTCTCCATGGCTCCAAATGGTGAAGGTGTCATCCACATATCTGAACCATATGTTTGGGTGGATGCTGTTAAGATGGTCCAGGAACCTGTTGAGTTCTTCTTCTCCATGGCTCCAAATGGTGAAGGTGTCATCCACATATCTGAACCATATTGTGGGCTTTTTGGTTGCTGTCTCCAGGGCTTGTTTTTCAAAGTGTTCCATGTAGAAATTAGCTATGACTGGGCTGAGAGGGCTCCCCATAGCTACTCCATCTTTCTGTTCGTAGAATTCATTGTCCCACTGAAAGTAACTGGTGGTGAGGCAATGGTGAAACAGAGCTGTGATGTCTTCTGGGAACCTCTGGTTGATGAATCATAGAATCATAGAATCATAGTTGGAAGAGACCTCATGGGCCATCCAGTCCAACCCCATGCCAAGAAGCAGGAAAATTGCATTCAAAGCACCCCTGACAGATGGCCATCTAGCCTCTGTTTAAAAACTTCCAAAGAAGGAGCCTCCACCACACTCCGGGGCAGAGAGTTCCACTGCTGAACGGCTCTCACAGTCAGGAAGTTCTTCCTCATGTTCAGATGGAATCTCCTCTCTTGTAGTTTGAAGCCATTGTTTGCGCATCCTAGTCTCCAAGGAAGCAGAAACAAGCTTGCTCCCTCCTCCTCCCTGTGGCTTCCTCTCACATATTTATACATGGCTATCATATCTCCTCTCAGCCTTCTCTTCTTCAGGCTAAACATGCCCAGCTCCTTAAGCCACTCCTCATAGGGCTTGTTCTCCAGACCCTGGATCATTTTAGTCGCCCTCCTCTGGACACATTCCAGCTTGTCAATATCTCTCTTGAATTGTGGTGCCCAGAATTGGACACAATATTCCAGGTAAAGTGGTCTAACCAAGGCAGAATAGAGCATGGGGAGCATGACTTCCCTAGATCTAGACACTAGGCTCCTCTTGATGCAGGCCAAAATCCCATTGGCTTTTTTTGCCGCCACATCACATTCCTGGCTCATGTTTAACTTGTTGTCCACGAGGACTCCAAGATCTTTTTCACATGTACTGCTCTCGAGCCAGGCCTCATTGTCCCCCATTCTGTCTCTTTGCATTTGATGGGTGCCATGGTGTCTGCTACCGGGACCACGGTAAATAGAGACACCATAGAATCATAGAAGAGTTGGAAGAGACCTCATGGGCCATCCAGTCCAACCCCATTCTGACAAGAAGCAGGAATATTGCATTCAAATCACCCCTGACAGATGGCCATCCAACCCTTGCCAAGAAGCAGGAATATTGCATTCAAATCACCCCTGACAGATGGCCATCCAGCCTCTGTTTAAAAGCTTCCAAAGAAGGAGCCTCCACCACACTCCCTCCGGGGCAGAGAGTTCCACTGCTGAACGGCTCTCACGGTCAGGAAGTTCTTCCACACTCTAACTTGTCAATATCTCTCTTTGGTTGTGGTGCCCAGAATCCAGCCTGTGCTTAGGAGGCTGTGCCATCATCTCAACAGGCGGGTGGAGAAGAAGAGCCTTGCTATCTCTATTCCGTCTGCGGAGGGAGCCTGGCGAGGCCACCCTGGCTTGCTTTGTGGGCTTTCCTCGCGAGAGGAGGGGGCGTGTGCGGCCGGGCTCCTCCTCCTCCTCCTCCTCCTCTCCTCCCTCCCTCCTTGCAGGAGGTGGTGCTGAAGGGACAGCGCCCTCGCCCTGCCTTCCTCCTCCTCCTCCTCCTCCTTCTCCTCCTTCTCCTCCTTCGCCCTGGCCCTTCCTGCTGGTGCTGGTGCCGGGCCGGTGGTTCCTGGTGGAGGAGCAGGAGCAGCACCATGAGCCCGGGCGCCCCGCCTGCCGCCGCCCCGTCCCCGCCCGGGCCCGCCTCGCTGCCGCTGCTGCCTCCTGCTCCTCCTGCTCGTGCTTCTCCTCCTGCTCCTCCCGCTGCTCCTGCTTCTCCTCCTCCTTCTGGGGCGCCGGGAGCATGAAGCGGCAGAACGTGCGGACGCTGGCCCTGATCCTGTGCACCTTCACCTACCTGCTGGTGGGCGCCGCCGTCTTCGACGCGCTGGAGTCCGAGGCCGAGACGGCGGAGCGGCGGAGGCTGGTGGCGAGGCAGGAGGAGCTGCGCAGCAAGTACAACCTCTCCGAGGCCAACTACTGCGAGCTCGAGGGCGTCGTGCTCCGCCTCAAGCCCCACAAGGCCGGCGTCCAGTGGAAGTTCGCCGGGTCCTTCTACTTCGCCATCACCGTCATCACCACCATCGGTAAGGGCGCCTTGGCGGAGGGCCGGCAGGTCCCACGCGGGGAAGTGGGCGCGGGGGGGGGGGAGCCAGCCGGGAATTGGGGAAAACCCACAGCCGCTAATAGGAAATCCACGCGTAGGAGTGGGGGGAACCCACGCGTAAAGTGGGGGCAAACCCACGCGGGAAAATCGTAAAATCCACGCGTGGAAGTGGGGGTGGGCACTGAAGTCTGGATGTAGGTGGAAAGCCGACCCGAAAGTAGGGAAAACCCACTAGAGAAAATTAAAATTCCACGCGTGGAAGTGGGGGAAACCCACGCGGGAAAATTGTAAAATCCACGCGTGGAAGTGGGGGGGGGGCAATGAAGCCTGGATGTGGGTGGAAAGCCCATCTGAAAGTAGGGAAATCCCACTAGAGAAAATTAAAATTCCACGCGTGAAAATAGGAAACTCCACGCGTGGAAGTGAGGGGGGGCAATCAAGCTTGGATGTGGGTGGAAAGCTCATCTGAAAGTAGGGAAAACCCACTAGAGAAAATTGAAAATCCACGAATAAAGTGGGGATAAATCCACGCACGGAAATTTGGAAATCCACGGGTGGAAGTGGGGCCAATCAAGCCTGGATATGGGTGGAAAGCCCACCCGAAACTAGGGAAAACCCACTAGAGAAAATTTAAATTCCACGAATAAAGTGGGGATAAATCCACGCACGGAAATTTGGAAATCCACGGGTGGAAGTGGGGAGCCATTCAAGCCTGGATTTGGATGGAAAGCCCACCCAAAATTGGGAAAAGCTCACTAGAGAAAATTGAAAGCCCACCCGAAAGTAGGGAAAACCCACTAGAGAAAATTAAAATTCCACGTGTGAAAATAGGAAAACCCACGCGCAAATTGGGGGGAAAGTCCACGCCTTAAAAATAGGAAAAATTCACGCTCGGAAGTGGGGGGGCATCAAACTTGGATGTGGAGGAAAACCATACCTCAAAGTGGGGAAAGCCTGCTCGAGCAAATAAAAACCCACGCGTGGAAATGGGCCCACGCGTGGATACAGATCTAGGGGTGGAAATGGAAACCCTGTGCGTCAAAGGTGGAATCCCCGGCCCACGCGTGGAGGGGGTGAAATCCCAACCCCAAAGTGGACGCCCCACGCACGGAGGATGGAGACTCCATCCTTAGGCGTGAAGGATGAGGGTCCCTCTTTATAGGGGTGTAAAGTGCGGAGCTTACTCTTGGGGAGTGGCTCGTGGAGACCCCACTCGTGCAGGGTGGATCTCATCCCCATTCCAGAAAGGGGAAGAAATCCTGGGCCCATGTGTGGAGGGTGACCCACGGGTAAAGAAGGAAAAAGTCCCACTGGCAGGCCTGGACGGTTGAGACTCCACGCGTGGAGGGGGTTAATCTTGGGAGGGGAAAGAACATATGGATCACAGAGCCCCTTCTCTATATGAGAAGGACGTGGAGACCCCTGGGCTTGGAGGGAAATAGCCCTGGCCCCACGCGTGGAAGGAGATAGAGAAGCCCATCTTCAAGTGTGCTAGGTGGAGAGCAGGGAGAGAGGCCGTGGCCTCAGGCGTGGATGGGGGAGACCACGAAGAGAAGGGTGGAGGCCCATTCCCACGCGTGGGAGTGGGGAGGGCTGCAGGACCTCCTCAGTAGCCGGGCATGGTGTGTTCCTCTCCTTTTCCTCTCTGTCCAAACTCCCCCTTGGACTTTCCTCTTCAGTTGGACTCGATCGCTCTTCCTTCCTTCCTTCCTTCCTTCCTTCGTCCTTCCTTCCTTCCTTCCTTCCTTCCTTCCTTCCTTCCTTCCTTCCTTCCTTCCTTCTTTATGTAACCCAATTCCGTGGGGCTCGTGGACACGCGAGTGGGGAGAATGAGAGCCAAGACTTGGCTCAGAAAAGCCTTTGGATCCGCCAGTGTCTTGAGTCTTTCCCTTTTGGAGAGGTTTGCCTTCCTTCCCTTTTGGTGGCGCCCCATCCACCGCCTCTCCCATCACTCTGTACGGCTGGGACTACAACTCCAATCACCCCCAACCAGCGGGTCCGCATCGCTTCTCCCTTCACTCCACGGAGGCCATCGGGCGGGACTACAACTCCCATTCGCCCTGCCAAACAGAAGAAGGCTCCCCTGAGCTGCTCCTTTGTGTTGCCTTTCCTCTACCTTCTACCCGACAAAAAAGGGGGCCTGGACTATGATTCCCCTCATCCACGAGGACTGTTTGGGATGATGGGAGTTGTAGTCCTCGGGAGACAGAGCAAAGCGTGCTTTCTGCTCCCGAACTGAGTCTTTGGGGGTGTGTTTCTGCGCCAAGGATGGAATGCGCGTGGAGAACAATAGAGAAGGGGAAGAAGCGAGCGAGGGGAGGGGAGATGGGGGTCCCCTCTTTGCAAAGCCTCCCTTCCCTTTAATATCCTATCGATCATCCCACGCGAGACCAGGTCCGCTTCCTGATCGCTTTCTCGACGCGGTGGTGTCTCTTTGATGTCTTTGTGCCAAAACCATCTCCGTTTTGGGGACAGGTTTTTGGAGACGTGTTGTCGCTCCGTGGCTGAAGGCGAATGGCTGGGAAATGGCAAGGAAAGGGAAGGAAAACCCTTCCAAACACAGGCAAGAAAGGGCTCCTTCTGCGGGGGACACGCAGGGCAACCGCCGCCCACGCCTGGGGGGCTCCATCCTGTGCGTGTTTTCCTGAGGGAGAGGCCAGAAACACGCGGGGAGGGGCGTGCGCAAAGAGGCGCAATTTGGCGCAATTCTCGCACAGGAGAGCCTTTCTTTCCTTGCTGTTGCTGCTCTTGTTGTTGTTGTTGTTGTTGTTGTTGTTGTTGTTATGTTTCACGGGATAAAGGGAAGGAAGGGGTACGCCTCCTCGCGTGTAAATACATCAGATCCGGCCCAGGGAAAGAATGAGAAGCACTTCAAATAGCCACAGAGAGTGAAGATAAACGCCTGGGAATGGGATGCGTAATGTGGACGTTCAAGGCGAGTTTGACTCCCGAGGAAGCCTGTCATGGATTGCAGCCTCTGGGAGAGTTAGGGGAACCAGTCAGGACTGCGTGGGGAAAAATCCGCGTGGGGCAAAAGGGGGAGGGGAGAGAAAGGTGCCTTTCCCTGGCCTGGAGACCCCTCTCCTCTCCTCATTTTGCCTACCTGCCTTGGAGAGAAAGGGCCTTTGGAGAAGCCTTGGAGGGGTCTGAGAAGAAGAGAGAGATCATAGAATCATAGAATCAAAGAGTTGGAAGAGACCTCATGGGCCATCCAGTCCAACTCCATTCTGCCAAGAAGCAGGAATATTACCTAGCCCAGCACCCCTCCACCTGTTATCCACCTTCCTTCTGGAGTCCCAAAAGTTACTTGCTTTTCATTTTGCAAAAATAAAGGCACCATTTTGGGGTGGGGGTTGCATGGAGAGCTTATCTAGTTTCGAAACTTGCAGAATTGGAAAGGACCCCCAAAGGCCTCCAAAAATTTATTTATTTACTCAGGGCGGCTTACATCTCATAGAATCCTAGAATCAAAGAGTTGGAAGAGACCTCATGGGCCATCCAGTCCAACCCCATTCTGCCAAGAAGCAGGAATATTGCATTCAAATCACCCCTGACAGATGGCCATCCAGCCTCTGTTTAAAGGCTTCCAAAGAAGGAGCCTCCACCACACTCCGGGGCAGAGAGTTCCACTGCTGAACGGCTCTCACAGTCAGGAAGTTCTTCCTCATGTTCAGATGGAATCTCCTTCTTGTAGTTTGAAGCCATTGTTCCTTGTCCTAATCTCCATGGAAGTAGTAAACAAGCTTGCTCCCTCCTCCCTGTGGCTTCCTCTCACATATTTATACATGGCTCATCATATCTCCTCTCAGCCTTCTCTTCTTCAGGCTAAACATGACCAGCTCCTTAAGCTGCTCCTCATAGGGCTTGTTCTCCAGACCCTTGATCATTTTAGTCGCCCTCCTCTGGACACATTCCAGCTTGTCAATATCTCTCTTGAATTGTGGTGCCCAGAATTGGACACAATATTCCAGGTGGTCTAACCAAAGCGGAATAGAGGGGTAGCATGACTTCCCTAGATCTAGACACTATGCTCTTCTTGATGCAGGCCAAAATCCCATTGGCTTTTTTTGCCACCACATCACATTGTTGGCTCATGTTTAACTTGTTGTCCACGAGGACTCCAAGATCTTTTTCACACGTACTGCTCTCGAGCCAGGCATCGTCCCCCATTCTGTATCTTTGCATTCATTTTTCCTGCCAAAGTGGAGTCTCTTGCATTTGTCACTGTTAAACTTCGTTTTGTTAGCTTTGGCCCATCTCTCTAATCTGTCAAGATCGTTTTGAATTCTGCTCCTGTCCTCTGGAGTATTGGCTATCCCTCCCAATCTCGCACAATTCGATGCCATTACGTATAAATAATACATACAGTAATTACATATAAGAACACAGTCAGTTAATTTTAAAATTAGTTTTACAATAAAAAGTACATTAATAAAAAGTGCAATAATACTGGCTGTCTATTATTTATTTACAGTATTTCTATACCGCTTTTCTCACCCCTCGGGGGACTCAAAGCGGTTTACACATAACTGACAAAACTTCAATGCCATACATTGGACACTGGCGTGATGCCAAACCATAATAACCACAATAATAAAACCATAATTAAACATAAATCATAATTAGACAGTACATAAGCAATCATTAAAACAATAAATAATAAAAACAGTCTCACCAGTTGTATTGTCATTCTAGTCCATGTCCTCTAAAACTCTACATACTGTCCGAAGGCCTGATCCCAAAGCCATGATTTTAATTTTTTTCTAAAAGCCAGGAGGGAGGGAGCAGATCTTACCTCATTTGGGAGTGGGTTTCATAGGCAAGGTGCCACCACTGAGAAGGCCCTGTCTCTCGTCCCTGCCAGACACATTTGCGCAATTGACGGGAGCGAGAGCAGGGCCTCTCCGGATGAACTTAGATTACGAGATGGGACGTAGGGGTGGATGCGTTTGGACAAGTAGGCTGGGCCAGAACTGTATA